AAAACCTCCCTCACAATTCGCGTCGTCGTCGTCGTCAACTTTGACAATGACTTTTCGCCCGGCTTCTAAATGTTATGGCACAAGTCTCAGTTTTCCACCATCCGTTTTCCCTTCATTTTCCCCTTTTTCCCAGTGTCTGTGTGTGCGTGGGTGTGTCTGTCTGTGTGTGTGTACGGGCAACCTTCCACTCTGATGTTCTCGATTCTGTTATTGTTGCTGCAAATATCTGGATTCCTTTATTGTGCAAGGTGATATGGCAACTTTGGCTCGAAGTTTGCATTGCAAGGCAAATAGAAGCAGAGCAAAGTCCTTTTATTGCACAAATAAGCGATGTGGGGAATGAAATATTTTAAATACTTGGCAGTAAGTGAAGTGGACGGAATAATGAAATTTAATATTTAACAGGAGGTAAATGAAGCAGCACTAAAGGTAAATAGAAGATTGAAGGAACGGAAAAGCAATCCATTTTGCAAAAAGCAAATACATTGCAAATACAAAACAAACAAAAAGAATATTCAAATATGCACAAATGATGCATAATGCATTAAAAAAGAGAGCTCTCATATATAATATGTTTAGTGAATAAAGTGTAAACACTTTCCTAACTAGATTACCAACTCCAATGGGGAGAAGATTTACTCTAAACGCTTTCAATTCAAGTAATCCTTTCGCAATTATGTTTTTGAGGAAACGAGCTTTTTATTTTTAAAACGACTGCTTTGGCCTTTCAGTTTTTGCCTTTACAGAGTATCCCATTACCAGCTAAGAGCTGAATGCTGGCCAAATAGGCCACCTCCACTCGCTTGGGGCGTTTAATTCAATAGACATTCAGGCTTGCCTGCGACAACGTGGCGTATGCGCAATAACCCACAAAACAGACAGCGGCAGATGTCTCATAAAAAGGAGCTGCTATCCAGCTATCCTGCTGTCCCTCGAAAAACAGTTTGGCCCCCGTGGCCCCGGATTACTGATGTTGTTTTGGGCGATGCTTTGGTTTCCCTTCCCTCTCCAGAACTCATTTGACTTACTCTGGGAATTATGTTATGAGAAATAATGCAGCATCATTTGTATACTCGTATGCTGGCCAAAAGCAGAACGACATTGAGTAATGAATGCAAGGCACAAGAGGATGTCTGTCCCTCTTTTAACCCCTTCTACCCCCTTTTCACATATCCTTTGACATTAAAAAGTTGGATTTTTCTAGCATTTGCTAGCTGGTAAGGAAACCCATCTACGATGCCATAAACTCATTTGCGGGTGTTGGCGGCTGGCACACGCAGTCCCAATAAATTTCAATGTCTATCGGGGCAAGAAGCCCCATTTTCCAACAGTTGACAGCTGTGGGTGGCATGCATTATGTATTATGCGAACTGTCACCAATAAATTCCCATGTAAGCAACTGATATTGACAGCTTGAGTACGACGACCACGAGAACGTAGCGCGCTGGAAATTATATGCACGTACTTAAGCACAGGCAGCCGAATGAAGATGGAGAAGAAGGATGTTCGGAGTACTGAATACAGGATATACTGGATAATGGGCAGCATATTTCGCACCACCTAACCACATCATCGAAAATGGCGAGGAAGCGGTGGCGAGGAGCGAGAGTGGTTGTGGCAGGACCTGTTTACACAACACATTCTGTGGCACACTTTTTCGGGCAGGACTCGTCCACCCACACCCATTATTCCATTCTAGCCATGTCAATCGATGTTAATTTATTGTCAATGCGCATTCCACCTCCCCTTTCCCCCTTTCTCCTTTCATCATCCATGCGACACGAATACCAATGCAGGGGCTTACTCGCTGGCCTGTGTGTATGTGTGTGTGTGTTATGCAAAAAGGCTTTTCCTCTTGGCCATCCACAAAAACACGTGCGCCATGTGCACGTTATTAATCAACAAGGACCTACGACAAGCTCGTTTTCCCCCTCGCACTCAGGCTTTGTCCATTTTGGAAAATGCAACGAAACTGTTCGGTGTGTGCGAATAAGTAGTACACGTAGAATAAAAATGGGTTTCTCATTGAGAATTAATTTGGTATGGGTACCAAAATATTCCAAAAGAAATGTTTTTTATCAGAGATATAAAATTCCAATTTTAAAATTATTTTTGAGTAAGAAATAATAAATTACATAACAAATTATAAATGATTTTAAATGTCTCTATCTTAAGTTTGGAATAAATTAAAATCTATCTACTGAAATACTTATATTTTTAAAGTAAATTTTTCTTTCAGTGTCGTTTTGTGTGCTCAGTGGAGCTGAGCTGTTGGCTGCGTACAGCATGCATAGCATGCAGCTTATTACATAACAACAAACGCATGGCACCCAAACGCAACGCATATGCATGCACACTGGTATGCCTCCTAAATGTGCACAACAAAAGTTCATTATCTTGTTGACACGTCCCACAAAAATTGGCTTAAATAGGCGCTTAGCCCGAACAGCTTTAAATATTTCAGTTTGCCCCAATCTGGCGTCGAGTGATGGGGAATCATTAATCACGTGCAGCAGCGTTGATTAACTCAGAGCCAAGGAGAATGACATATTAGAACCCTGACTGAATAATCTGCGAATCTATCATAATTCTGGGCCAGACCAAAAACAAAACCATTAATAACGAAATAATGAATCCCCGCGGAGGGATGATGACTCGTCGTCAGCGGAAAAGAGGAAGCCATGCGAATCCATCAAGCCACTGGCCTAATCACTTTAAAGATCCAAGCAGTAGTAGTAGTTGGCCCAAAAGATCAACAGAGCGCATAATAAATTGCATTTAGTTTCCTCTTTTTTTCGGTATGCTGCTACAAAAGAGCGAAGAGATAGAATTAGGAGCGATGGAAAAAAAAGGAGACCAGTCGGCACATGGGAGACGTTTTTACGTTTGTCAGTTGCATAAAACATAAAAATGCCAACACATTCGGACGGACACATGAGCCACGATGGCAGCGCATGCCAAAAGCAGCCAGAAGCTGGCAGAAGGCAGCAGGCAACCGGCAGAAGGCAGAAGGCAGACGGCTACAGGACCACCGCAGCGGAAATGGTGCAAAAAGCGGAACGGGAACGGTTGACGGCGAGCGGGAGAGGGAAAAGGGGCCGGGGTTAGGGGGGAAATTAGGAAAAGCCATAGTGTGAAGGAGACAGACAGCCAGCATAAAAAAATAAATCACGATGAAAGGACTGCTTGGCAATCCAGTACTTAAAGTACCCTCGAACTTTAAATATTCTTTTCAGGCTGAATTTTATGAAAAATCTCGTTATATTATTAAAACAAGCCAAATAAAATAAAATTACAAAAGTTATGGACTTAAAAGTAGTTAATTTGAGTCACTTTTCAGCAAATCCATTTTTTGAAAATTTAGAAAGGGATTTTATCATAAATAAATAAAGAAATTTTGGAAAGGAGTTGTATCATAAAAATTGAAAAATATCGGCAAAAAAATAATTTTTGTTAAACTCTGATATTATTCCTTATACCTCTTTAGTTAAACCATTTTAATAAGAACTTTATTTGGAAGCTGAGATAAAAAAAGATTGAACGGGAACTAAACAAACAAAACCTTCCTCTTCCTTGCAAAAATGAAAAATGGAATCCGGTTCGAGGGACTTTATTTACATATTTTTTGACAAAGCTGACAGAAATCCAGGCTAAATGTCCAGCAAGCTTTTGGGATCCCTCCGTTGCCATGCAACATTAATGCCCAAGTCAATAGCTTTCGGGGGGCTTGTTGATCTAGTCACAGTGACTCGTTAAAGTATGCAACGTGCCCCGCATGTTGAAGCTCGCTGATTGAATTCCGCGAAAAAGTTCCTCTCGATTTTCTATTTATGTTGGTCCTTTGCCCCTTTTTTTACGCCGTCAAAAGAGCACAAAATGTTTAATTAAATTCAAGCGGCAATAGAAAAGGAATCGGAAACCAAAACGAGCCAAGGAAAATAAACGAAAAAGCCAAAGAATTTAATTAAACTTTTTCTATTTTTACTCGCCTGAGTTGTCGCTTTTTTTTTTCCTTCCTGCCGCAGCAATGTCAGCCACGCATTTTAATTAGTTTTTTTTTTGCACACAAGTATGAGTGAGCGGAAATGGGCATGTGTGAGTGAGCGTGTGGGTGTGTGTGTGTGGTGAAAAGGAATCAAAAGTGTGGGCCAACAATTGACGCTTTCGGGGCGGAACAAGCGAAGCGCTGTCAAAAAACTTTCAAACAAATGTCGCTCACATGCCAAATGCACACACACATACACATTTACCCCACAAACACACACACACATTCACCCTTCACATACCCACACCAACATCAGAAAAAAGGTGTTAAACATTAACATTTCATGCGCATAAACAAATGAGTTTCCCAACGTCAAGTTTTGATTACGTAACAAGCTTTCGGCCGCAACTTTTTCATACATGGTTTCCATTTTTTTTTTTATACCGAATGGGCAACATTTTTTTGGCCATTTAAATGCATCGTAAATGGACGTATTTCGATGCAGATTCTGAGAGCCAAAATAGTTTAAATAAATTGATTATTTATTGTCATCAATTAATTTTTCAGTACGGATTAAAATGAGTGAGAGAGTTAATAGCTAGAGGAACATGAGTTATATATAAATTTTTTTTTAAACCTATACAGTATATACAAGATAATTAGCTTTAAAAAATTACCATTTTTTAATGCATAACAGTATGCCAAACAGATTAGACTAATTAACTAAGATTTATACAATTTTTATTTAAAAGCTGTTGTTCTGTGGTTTTAGTTAAGCTTGGTTTTATATTATTAAAACATATGCAAAGCTTCCATTTATATAAGCGCATTAACCAGCACAAAAAAGTGTATTTACGTTATCTTTGGAAGTGAAAATGTGCAGACCCCTCTAATATGCAAATGGCAAAAAGAACCCTCTCCAGATCAGCTCACTGAATTAACATGCCAAACTTCGGGGGCATGACGAAAATTTAATTAACTAATTTGCGAGTATATGTGGTGGGGAAAAACTTACGCCGCCTCGTCCGCCGGAGCCCTCAATGTTATCATCATCGATATAGATTTCATCCCGGGAGCGAGAGGACGCTGGAGAAGGCGCTGCCGCCGATGGTTTCACGGATTTCTGCAAGTAGAGGGAAATTTCCAAATAAAATGAGAATTTTTCAAACAATATTATATAACGAATGCGTGTAGGGAGAGTGAAAACTTTTTTAATTTTCGCCAGGACATCATCCAGACTCCTTTTTTTTGTGTTTGGCCTTTCGTTGAAATGGAAATATTTTTATTTCATTAATTAGAGAGTGGAGACAGCCCGAAAGTTTCGGAAAGTTGGAGTCGCAGGCACCAAAGTTATGAGAGTGGAGGAATTCGCAACCAAAAAGGAAAAGGCCGAAATGCATTTATTTCTCCATCAGCGATTCGCATGACCGCAAAAATTTGCGAGGCTTCCACGGCTCTTACCGCATGAAACAATTAATTAAGAACAATGCTTAACGTGTATTTCGGTTCGCGTTAAATGCATTTTTAATGATGCACTGGAAAATCAATGAGAAATGCAAATTGTGTGTGGCAAGCGCAGCCCGCTGCTGTTGCCCCATTCTTTATGAGCTACAAAGTGCGGCATGAGCTGGAAAAGTCGCCGAGTTTCCGAGGCTTTTTCGGCCCAGTCGCACATTGCATAATTAATGGTGCCCCATCCACGTTCAGTTCTAGGAGCTGTCCGCATTTTATGGCCAAACATAAAAAGCAGAAGCCCAGGGAACTGAATCAGAGTGGGTGGGTGGGGGGTCTCCTGACCATGTCCCGTGTTGCCTCATTAAGCCGGGGAAAATCGGGTAGCTCTCCGCCTCTTTTTACTTCGCTTAAATGCGAATTGATGAAGACTTTACGAGCAACTGAAAAACTCCAAGCGTGGTTTTCCTGGTCTATGGGTTTAAGTTTAAGCAAGGAAGTATATTATTAACTTTATGTTTATATTGGAGTTTATTGTCGAAATAATTATATATTAGAATAAAAGTTTAGCTCCTAATTAGGTAATCACTTTTAAAGTTTTTTAGGTTTAGTTTCCCATGGTTTAAGTTTAAAGTAATCTTTAGTTGATTTAATTATAAAGCTATTGCTGCTATTTCCTTATATTTGAACAATTTTAATACCTAAATATTTCATTCCTATTATAAAGTCTTTTTGTGAACGTAATGTCAGTTGTAAAACTATACTTTTTGAGGGTAAATTTGCATTAGTTCAAACGAAATGCAAAAGTTATTTCAAGGACCAAATATTTCCCCTTTTTACGCAAAAATTTTTCGAGTTCCGTGCCAACGCCATGACCTATAAATTGCTAACGCTTTTTCCCATTCATTTCAAGCTCATCACGAGGGAATCTTTCCCCTCCATAAGTCAAGCGAGTCTAAAAGTTTGGCATAACATTTTCATTTTGCTGCACTTTTTCGCCAGCCAAGCTGCAAAGCGAATTAAGTTATCTTGATTCAGGCGTTTGCTGTTTTTTGCAGATTAGTAGGAGAGCCTGAATGCGCCAACTTGGCGAGTCAAAGTTGTCAAGGGGAGTTCAGTTCCCAGTTCCCAGTTCGCAGTTTTCAGCTTGGTTTTAGAAGCTACTGGCATTAAGTTTTTGGCGGGCTGTCAAGTCAGCCTGAGGTTGTCATTCATTCGGGCCAAGAGTTCAGTTTTGCGGCTGCGACTGCTCTTCTCTAAACAATTTAGCTGGCAAGTTTCCTCAACCATAGGTGTGAATAACCGCTGGAGATAAACTCAAAAGTTTTCGCAAAGCCGGCCAGGGAAATGAGAAATAAAAGGCAACAGTTTCTCATTCAGCTTTTCCGCCTTATGGCTTATTTATATGCAACGTCTGGGGTTTGTTGGTTTGGGATTTCCATGAAATGTATACCAACCAACTCCTTCACCCTTCGACGGAAGTCCGCCTTTTCTATTGATAGATTTCCTTGTTTGCCACTATGCTTTTTGCCTCGCTCTGCTTGTTTTTGCCTTTTTTTTTTGCCTGTTTTCATAATTGAAAAATTCCGTTTTTGGCAGGCAGGAAAAGTTTTCCTGCTGCTTGGACATGAAACGATTTTCCGGCTGGAGAACGTGCAAAATATTCTATGGGGAAATGTTTTGCCAGTTTCTGTTTTTATATTATTGCATCTGTGTGTTTTTTGGGGGCTAACGTTTTGTATTTTCACCAGTCATGCTTGGCTTGGTTCATATTTTAAAATGGCTACAATTTGGCAAAAACGTTAAATTGAATTGCAGTGGGTAAATCCTCTCACCTATTTTTTGCTGTGACAAATTGTGGCATTCAAAATAGTTGTGCGCCTTTTCATGTTGATCACAAAAACGGGCCAAACCCCGGCAATAAATCAATATATATACGTATAAAATATATATATATTTTGACAGTTTGTACGCCTGAACGCGCGTTGTTATCGGGGGAATAAAAAACGAAACCATTTTGTTTTTATGACAAAGAAAATATATTCTTTTGGGCTTTCATCTGTCAATATTTATGGTTTGCAAATATTTTCAGTTCGGGGAAATCTATAAAATGCGCACATAAATATTTTAATGTTATTGAATTGTGGAATTTGCCCCGCACTTAAAGCCCTCTTTTGTCCGCTCCGACTGGTTCAAATAACTATTTACAGTCGGTTGATCCGTTGGAAAAAAATTACATTACGAATTGCTCGAATGAAAAGAATATTTAATGCGGAAGAGTGGACAGATGAAAGCGATAAAGAGGGGATCTACCGCTGATTCGATTGTGGCAGGCTCATTTAATGTGTCAATTGCATTACGCTAAAACTCTTCGCTCCAACAGTTGCAATCGGCAAAAAGTTGGATGTCCTGGCAGTTAATGCCCGGAATGAAAAGGAGTTCAGCTGACAGCCAATGACAGAAGCTAAAGTGCTCAACGAAGCGTCAGCAAAGCGATGCTGACAGCCCCAGCAGACGAGCGCTTCACAGTTTCATTTGAAGCGACGGGGCCCCAAAAAGTAGGCAATGGGATTCGATCAATGCCAGAACAAGTATACGCAGCGTGGTACCCGCACAGCAAATCAGCAAAGGGCAGGTCAGCAACAAAAACAAAAACAACGACAAGGAAATGTAGAAGGAGGCCCACACAAAACATATTCAAGCTGTCTGCACCGTCATTATGTTGATGACACGGCAGCTTCTTCTTCTTCTTCTTCTTGGCCATGTTAGGTTTCTTGCTGAGTCCACCATCCATCCATCCCTCTTTTCAGTTCCATCTGCTGCTGCCAACATGCGTATTTTCGGCTGGCACCCACAAATACCAAAGCTAAAGCCCAACCAATGCCAAAGCAATGAATGCCAAGGCATTTACCCATTTCCTTTTAATGCTCTAACAAGAAAACGAGTTACAGAGTTTTGGTAAGTGTTATGTTAGGGAATGTTTAGTATTTCATTAAGTAGCTTTCCACTAACCCAATTATCATTAATATAATAAGAGCTATTTATAATAATACTTATGCTAAGGAATACTTTATCCATTTAATAGTAAATTGTATTCTTATATCATACATTTTAATCAACCAATGAAAGGGTATTTAACATCCTAATAGCCCGCATCAATATTACGTTGTTTTCTTGTCTTTTTACCCTGAAACTGAATGATAAATAAACCAAATGCGTTGAGGCTTAGGTGAATTGAACATTTTCATTTCGCTTTTCGGGGATTTTCTCTCGCACTCTGTGCGTGCCCTTTGTCCATTGAGGTGTCAAGAAGGTAAATATGAAGGCCTACGTACAAAAGAGCGAATAAAAGCAAATCAAAACTTATTATGCTGAACACACACACACTCGCACACCCACACACGCACACTCGTTCACGTGGTGCGACTGTAAGATTGTATTTTATTGCCAGGCGTGTGTGTATCTTTGGGGAGAACTTTTATGTTTATAGTAGTCGTAAAAAAAAGAAATGAAACTTGACTTTTCGCATTTGTTGCTGCCTAAAACCTAATTGAACAGCAAAATTATTGCCCTTCCTTGGGGGCAAATAACAAAAACTCAACTGGGCCCAAAATAGCCTAAAACAACAATAGCAATTCACTAGGCCGACAGCCTCTGGCATTAAATTTTCATTTGGCCTGGCCAAAATATTTAAATTATGCACCACACGATTTGGTTTCACATGCAAAATAAGAAAAAGCTCAACAATGCAATTAGTCCGACAGCCTGACAGTCGGAAAATTTGTGTATTTTTATCTCCGGTTAGCAAAAGGACTAGAAACATCAAGAATGCAGTGAAATGTAAATAGGGATAAAAGCTACAGGGGAAAAGAATTATACATACAAGTATTGTATGTTGAATATGAAATATAATTGCTTTTAGTCAGGCTATCATTTATACTTATTTTAAATGTAAGTCCCATGTTTTAAGTCATTTTTAAGTACTGATAATTAGTAAGTAATATTTATAAATGTGTCGTTAGGTTTCATCTAGCAATGTGTGTTTGCAATAATAGATTATTATTAAAATAAACCATTTTTCGTTTTAAACCGACATTTTATAGCCTTTTAAGGCATCTTTTCTCTCTCTGTTTGCGTGTGTGTGGTTGATTTCGGCGAGTGACTTGACATAAAGCCAATGGCGGAAATGGCAAACCCCCACTCGCACACTGACACGATTCCACCTCTGTTTCTGAGCCCGATTCCTGAATGCTGTCAGAAAGTCATGCAAATCGTGGCGCTCAAAAGTGTGCCACAAGCACAGAGAAGCATTCAGACTGTGAATTGTTATAACACTGACCTAGAGAGGCCACACAGGTAAGTCAGTTCCACTTCCCCTTCCCCTTGCCAAGTTTTTCGTGCCACCCAAATCGATGGTGTGTCAGTGGTGCGAGGATATGAAAGGTTTACGCGACATCGAACTGTTTCGCACTGTTCTTTAAAACAACAAGTATACGCACCCTTGCCGCCCAGGGGATGTTGTCCTTAGTCCGTAAGCAACAGTAGCGCAAGGATTTTAGCACAGCACAATTGTCCCTGTGAGAGGGAGACCACCAGAGACGTAGATTGTGACGGAGCGAGCCAGAGTGCCCGCTCGTGCCAAGGAAGCCAACCGAACACTTCACCAGAAAG